ACCCTAAAGGATGTTATATTTCTCTCTTTCTCTAGTTGAAACAGCCTCCCACAGGTATAATAAATTCACTTGCATGATTTACTGTCTCAGTCCAGTGAAAAGACATGACCTGGACAATGCTTCATGGCGCAATCAATGTACTTCCAAGGGAAGCAGGCATGACATACCGTCATCACCCAGACATTCTGGAAATGATTTTGTCAGGGAGAATGAAACCTCACTAGGAATATTAATGGACATAGCTGGAACTGTTTGCACGACCCACGCCACACGGAATATTCTTGTTAATGATCTACTAATCAATTTGCCCTTTCCTCATGGGGCCGTTTGAGGATAGCACATGACGTTTGTATTTTCTTGTTAATTTTCAAAATTGAAGTTTCACTGCTCCCTCAAAGAGAATTCTAAAGAAGTCTAAATAAAGCAGCTTTTTTATTCCTATTTTTGCCCTTCAGTAACTTTCCTCACAGAGAATATTTTTATACAGGGGGTTAACTCACACCTACTATTGTAAATCAGAAACGTCCCAACACCCTATTTCCAATGCTACAGAGTGGGAAGCATACCCGTCACTGTTGAGTTGATTCCAACTCATAACGACCCTATAGCACAGAGTAGAACTGCCCGATACGGTTTCCAAGGTTGTAATCTTTATGAAAGCAGACTGCCACATCTTTCTCCCACGGAGCAGCTGATGGATTCCAACTGCTGACCTTTCGAATAGCAGCTGAGCGCTTAACCACTGCATCACCAACGTCACTATGAGTTAGAATTGACTCTATGGCAATGGGTATGGGAAGTATACATCTAGTATAATCTTTTACTGATTCTTTGCAAGATCAGTTCTAAAAGCAGAAGACTATCATTTTTCCCCACAGGAATTTCTAAGCCTATGTAAATATTGTCTACATGCTTTAACATTCTTGCGTGTTACCATTGCTAAAAAGACATTCTTCTTTATATAAAGGAAATCATTTCCGTTGGCAACATACTTACTGAAGCTCCAGAATTTCTACCTTTTCCTTTTTTTCTTTCCACAAATTTACATTTTCTCAGCATAAATCACCTCTCCTAGTGTGGTGACAGGAATTGAGGTCAGAAAGCTAGTAAGTGGCAGCTTTCTCCCTCTAGTTCAATTTTCAACTATTATGCATGCTGCATACGCGATAGTGTGCAATAGATACAGGATGGCTCTGAAGTCAAACAGTCTTGAACGAATCCTCATTCCACTGTTTATTAGCTATGTGACCTTCAGCAAGTTACTTAGCTTTTCTGTCCTTCAGTCTCCTCACTGGTAAAATCGGAATGATGGTGGAGCCTGCCTCATATGGTGCTATAAGTCTTAAGTGAGATAAATGCCCACAGTTGCTTGCATCCGTGCCCGGCACACACAAGTACAGGTTAGCCGTTATCACTCTTCAAAGCCCAGAAAAGATATGCTGTTTTACTTATTTTAAAAAATTGCTAAATTTTGAATTATGAGAAAATGAAGACTCAAGATAATTGTGATTAAATATAGAGAAATAAAACTTGTGTGCAGGAATGAGCATAGGTTTTAAAACCTAATCAACCTGGATGTGGATATGGTGCTATGTAACCTTTGACAATTTATTCAATCTTTCTGCACTTCAATTTTCTCATATATAAAATGGGGAGAATAATAGCTACAATAATTAACAATAAAAAATAGCTAACAATATGTCTTAGTTATCTAGTACTGCTATAACAGAAATACCACAAGTGGATGGTTTTAACAAAGAGAAATTTATTCTCTCACAGTCTGGCAGTCTACAAGTCTAAATTCAGGGCATCAGCTCCAGAGGAAGGCTTTCTCTCTCTGTCAGCTCTGGACGAAGGTCCTTGTCGTCAATCTTCCCCTGGTCTAGGAGCTTCTCTGCACAGTAATCCCAAATCCAAAGAATGTGCTCTGCTCCCAGCACTACTGTCTTGGTGGTATGAGGTCCCCAACTCTCTGCTTCCTTTCCTTTCCTTTTATTTCCTGTAAGATAAAAGGTGGTGCAGGCCACACCCAAGGAAACTCCCTTTACATTGGATCAGGAATGTGACCTGAGTAAGGGTGTTACATCCCACCCTAATCCTCCTTAACCACAGGCTGAGATTATGATTTATAACACATAGCAAAATTACAAAATGTAGGACAACCACACAATCCTGGAAATCATGGCCTAACCAAGTTGACACATATTTTTGGGGGACACAATTCAATCCATGACACAATATTTGTTATATAGATGAGAAAATATGCGGAAAGGGTTTAGTATGTGATAGATACTCAATAAATGGGAGGATATTAGGGCTTTTGACTTTGTTTCCTCCTTTGCCTCCTAAGTAAATTCTTATTATAAACACAAGCCTGTATGTAGAGAGAAAAAAAGGAAACCAGAGTACCCATCTAAAGAAAAATTTACCCCCTCCCTGAGCTGTCAGCGAAAAAGAAATTCTGAGAGGTTTCGAAAAAGAATGTTTGACTGTTTCTCATTATTATGTAAAACCAAATGTTGGAAGTTTGGTTCTCATTTGTAGCACACATGAAAGTTGAATTGGAACACCTTCAGCAAATTTTCTGCTGGAATTGGACAGAACCCTTATGTAATATATTTATCAATCCAAAGCAGTAAGTGAAAAATCACAGATCCATAAGGTTTTTTCTCAAATGTCAGCATATTTTTTCAAATGATCTTTAAGTGTCTCTGAAGCAGTATTTTCTTAATTTTGACAGGATCTAGTCCAAACATCCCAGACAGATGAGCGTCATCATTTGTTTTTAAAGAACTCCACAGAAAAAAGAGTTAATATTCTCCATTCGTAACCAATTTTCAAGCCTTGTTGTTAACACACTAGAATATCTTCAGTATCATTATCGCCATTGAATGGGTTACAATTATTTTTGGCTGCAAGTAACAGAAAACATAACAAACAGTGGCTTAAACAAATAATAGCTTATTTTTCTCACATTAAAAAAGAAAAAAGAAATTGAAGGCAGTTGCTGTTGGTATTGGGTCATTGGTTCAATGATTTCAGCCCTAGTGTCTCTGTGAATCTTCTAGCCTGTCCCTGGTGATTGCTGCTTAATGTCAAATGATCAAAAGATGACTCCTGCAACTACAAGTTCAATACAGGAAAAAGGAGTGATTGGCAATTCCAACTGTGTTTTCCCTTTCATTAAAAAAAAAAAAAAACCTTCCTAGAGGCTCCAGAAGACTCCTTGGTCAGTACAATGACACATGCCATCCCTGACTGTAAAGGCAGTGGGAAAAGTATTTCATTTTCCAGCCTGTTAACCACAGATGCCAAGAGAAAATGGGCTTGTGAATGTCTGAAGTTACTGAACAATGTCTGACACACCATTATTGAAGAACTGCTTGTGCCAAAGTTTACAAGCTAAGACAAATAGACATATTACTGCTTTAATCTTCACTACCCCTAAAAAATACCATTCTCTAATTCCTCTTTAAATGCACTTGAAAGTCAGTATTAGGCACGTCAATAGCCTTTTTCCTAAAAAGAAAATGTGAATTAATACTAGATTTGATCCCAGGTTTAGAATAGTTTTCCTGGGCTAAGAATATTCTCTTTTGTAGCAACATTTATTGCTTGAGCTTAATGTGCAAAGTGATAGTTTTGAATTGGTGAATCCATGAATTAATAATTTTACAGATAGAGAGGTCGAGCATCTGTTATGACTATGAAATCCTTACCCAATGGTTTGCAAATAATTCCCCAAACATTCTGGACTCTTACATAATTTCAACTTGCAACATTTGAATTTGTTCCCCTTTATGAAACTCACTGGACCATTCAAACCATTTTGCAACATTCATCTCACTTAGGGCCATTGGATCACATTTGCTCTGGCTTTTATTTTTCATTTTCTTATAGGTTAACAAGTTTTGCCTAGCAGCATTTAGAGGCATTGTTTTGTAGTTGGAGTCCCTGCATGATGCAAATAGTTAATGTTCTGGGCTGCAACAGAATGGTTGGAGGTTAGTCCATTCAGAAGCACCTCGGAAGAAAGGCCTGGCGATCTATTTCCAAAAAATCAGCCATTAAAAATCCTGTGGAGCACAGTTCTACTTGAGACACATGGGGTTACCATGAGTTTGAATTGACTCAAAGATAATTGTAAACTGGTCTTGTAATCAGTGGGGTACTAAGCGTGGGACAGTGGGGGTATTCAATACTAGGTGCACACACTAGGGAGTACATTGTTTGTAGATACTTTAGATCATTAATAAAACCAACTAAAAGTTAGCCTGCTATTTTATAATCACTATATGTCAGAAATTCTAGGCAATGTAGGTGATAAAATACACCTCCTTGCTGGTGCAGACCACTCCTTTTTGGTATGCCTTGCTTCGTAATTTCAAGTTTTTCCTTTCAAGTAAATTAATGGTATAAGCTTTTAAAGAGCAAACGCTGTGTAAACATCTTATATTGAAGAAAATTCAGAGTTTGTTTTCTTGGCTTTCTCACCTTAATTATAGTCCAATATCATTACTTGATTGAAAATAAAACAAAACAAAAGGTAAAAAGAGAAATGAGCAGTACTATAACTGAATGAAAACTGGATGTAAAAATAAAACTAACAAAAGGAGAATTTGACTATTGTCTTCAGAATATTTCTGCTTTTAAACTTTTGAATGCAATTTCTCCCCCAGAAGGGGGGAAAAAAGTAAAACCCCAAAATTAAAATTGCATTTATTGCAGTGTTTCTTATTTCAAGATAGGTATGTCAAACTTAGTATTTTTATTTTGGTTTTGGGCTAAACATAGATTGCAAGGGAAAAGGACAGGATAAGGTATACCCTTTTCATCTGAAGAATTAGATACAAAGAATTTGAATCTGTAGTCATGTGAAATACCAGATGGTAAATGCCTCACCAGTATTTCCCCTTTTTTTAATACTGACTTTAAAAAGAAAGCAACAAAGAGAGTAGAGGTGAGTTACTGAAATTCACTGACATCCTTTATTTTTCCAGGTATTTTTGGACAGAAACTGGAAGACACTGTCCGTTACGAGAAGAGATATGGGAACCGCCTGGCTCCAATGTTGGTGGAGCAGTGCGTGGACTTTATCCGGCAAAGGGGGCTGAAAGAAGAGGGTCTCTTTCGACTGCCAGGCCAGGCTAATCTTGTTAAGGAGCTCCAGGATGCCTTTGACTGTGGAGAAAAGCCGTCATTTGACAGGTAGATCTCAAGATTTTACCAACCATCCTTCACTGAGAAATTCAAACAGAACTGAAAAGATGCATTGAGCTGAGATGGCATAATCTTAACTGATGGTGTAACAGTTTAGAATCTGGATTATTTGGCCATACAAGGATAGATTGTTTTTATTACATCATAAAATCAAAAATTTGATGCTTTAGATATCTTTCTCTTCCATACTCTTTTTACCTTAAAACATAATTATCTGTTTTTTTCTTTTGGATCTAAGTAAAAACCATATTCATCTTTTGCAACACAGAAAATGAACTTTTAAAGTAGGAGTCTTTTCTTGTGCTATATTCTTTTTGAATTCTTTCAGCTAAAGGATATGTATCAATACTAAAAGTGTTAATAAGTGAAGATTGAGACATTAGCATTTTAATTAAAATAAATATTTAAAAAATAATAAAATCAATAGAAATAATAAAAAATAAAAATCATTATATTTTTCAAATATATAGCTCCACCTTAATCTATAGTACATTTACCAGGAAGCAAGGAAAAAAATATAGCAGAGTGAAATTCAGAAAATTATGGAATTCCAAAGAAGAAAATATACAGCATTCTTAATTACATTAGTGAAGAGTTTGTCAGTATTAATATATTGTGATTTACCTCTTTTTATCATACTTCTTAATTTAGTTGAAAAATAATCTTTTATCTTAATGCTATTAATATTATATAGCAAAGATTTTTTTCATATGATTAGTTGAAACGGTCTATTTTATTCCAGTATATTTTAGCTTAACATTTTACTAAAAGACTAGTCCATATCATTAGCAACCTCAGTAAACATCATTTTTAACATATAACTAGTATTTCACTGTAAAAATATAATGTTCATACCATTGCAACATCATTCTATATTTATATCGTGAGTTTTTTCAATATTGTAAACAATATTATAGTGGATATATATTCACATAAATGTTTTTTTCTACTTTTGGATTATTTTGTTAAGAGAGATTCTCTCTAGTGGACTTTCTGTATAGGAATAGTTTGAATAGCTTGATACTTGAAAATTGCCTAAGTATTATTTCTATTTGGAAGTATATAATTAGCACATGGATAGACACAGATCTATAGAACAAATAGATGAGAAGACACTTGAAAACATGATATGAGATAAAGGAATTTTTGACCAACATGTAAAAAAAACTAGCATAGCAGTGCTTACAAAATACCTTGCATGGGGAGGACGCAATTGGCAAACAAACATAGAAGGTGTGTGTTATTTGCCTAAAAATAAGGTACTTACTCTCGCTTTAATATTCTTTTCATTTTTTAACTTTATTAGGCAGAAGTTTATATCATTAATTCTGAAACTATTTATCCTTTTCTAATACTAGCATTTAAAACAATAAATTTCCCGCTATGCACTTCTTTACCTAGATGCCTCATACTTTGATATATGTGTTTATTATCTTTAAACGAAACATATTGTCTAATTCCCTTGTGATTTTTTTTTTAAACTGTGGTCTGTTTAAAAGTGTTTTGTGTAATTACAAACATTTGGTGATTTTCTGGATTTCTTTTTGTTATTGATTTTTAATTTAATCCCACTGACATCAGAGTACTCTGTATTATTTCAGTCTTTGTAAATATATTGATTCTTGCTTTATGTCCCATCCTATGGTCTATTTCAATGAGTGTTCCATGTACACTTGAAAAAAACGTATATTATTCCATTGTTCAATGTGTTGTTGTTGTTAGGTGCCATCGAGTTGGTTCTGACTCTTAGTCACCCTATGTACAATACAACAAAACACTGCCTGGTACTGAGCCATCCTCACAATCATTGCTATGTTTGAGCTCATTGTTGCACCCACTGTGTTAATCCTTCTCATTGAGGGTCTTCCTCTTTTCTGCTGACCCTCTACTTTACCAAGCGTGATGTCCTGCTCCAGGGACTGGTCCCTCCTGATAACATTTCCAAAGTATGTGAGATGAAGTTTTGACATCCTCGCTTCTAAGGAGCATTCTAGCTTTACTTCTTCCAAGACAGATTTGTTCGTTCTGTCAGTCCATGATATATTCAATATTCTTTGCTGACACCATAATTCAAATTCATCAATTCTTCTTCGGTTTTCCTTATTCATTGTCCAGCTTCCCCATGCATATAAGGCGATTGAATATACCATGGCTTAGTCCTTAGTCCTCAAAGTGACATCTTTGCTTTTAACACTTTAAAAAGGTCTTTTTCAGAGATTTGCACAGTGCAATACGTTGCTTGATTTCTTGACTGCTCTTTCCATGGGCATTGATTGTGGATCCAGATAAAATGAAATCCTTGACAAATTCAATCTTTTTTCCATTTATCATGATATTGCTTATTGATCCAGTTATAAAGATTTGCGTTTTCTTTATGTGAGGTGTAATCCGTACTGAAGACAGTAGTCTTTGATCTTCATCAATAAGTGCTTCAAGTCCTCTTTGCTTTCAGCAAGCAAGATTGTGCCATCTGCATATTGCAGGTTGTTAATGAGACTTCCTCCAATCCTGATGCTGTGTTCTTCTTCATATAGTCCAGCTTCTCTGATTATTTGCTCAGCATACAGATTGAATAAGTATGGTGAAAGGATACAACCCTGATGCACACCTTTTCGGATTTTAAACCACTCAGTACCCCCTTGTTCTGTTTGAACGACTGCCTCTTGGTGTATGTACAGGTTCTGCATGAGCACAATTAAGTGTTCTGGAATTCCCATTCTTCAAAATGTTATCCATAATTTGTTCAGTGTAATGTTCTATAAATGTTAATTAGATCAAGTTGGCTGATAGTTCTTCAAGTCCTCTATATCCTTACTGTTTTTCTCTCTACTGTTATCAAACGCTGAGAGAGTAGTATTGAAATCCCCAAATAAAACTCTGGATTTGCTGTTTTTCCTTTCAGTTCTATCAATTTTGCAGTATACATTTTGAAGCGATGTTTTTATATTTATTCCCATTTAGGATTGCTATGTTTTCTTGATGAATTGTCTTGTTATAATTTTGAAATATCTTTGGTTACACCTGATAATTTTCATTGTCCTGACATCCGTATTTTCTGATAGCCACTTGAGTTTCTTATGACTAGTACTTCCATGGTGTATTGTTTTTATCCTTTTATTTTTAACCTACACCTACTTACTTATTGACTATCTTGTTATCTGACATTTCGCATTTACAACAATAGTAAAAAATCTACTGACTATTTTGTGCATTAACAACATACGTCTGGCAGTAACGAATGTTGAGCTGTGCAGCGAGAATAATGCTGTCTGTGATAGTTATCATTATGTGCTAACTTGCCTGAGTCATGATTCTCAGTGGTTTAGCAGTTATGTAACAGTGTAATTTGGCAGTTTTGTCATGATGTAGTCATCTTCCATTTTGTGATCTAATGTTGCTATCTTCCACTTTCACATAATGCTGATTTTTGCCTGACAACCTGATCTTTGGAAACTAATCATGTTGATAAGTGAGGAGTGGGGGTATATATTTATAGTGAGTTTCTTATACACCATATGTAATTTGATTTTTATTTTTTATCTAATTAAAAAATCTCTGACTGATTTTTCTTTTATGGATCACATTTGCCTGCCTTTTTGCATGCTCAGTAATTTTTTATTGGATACTTTCCATTTTGACTCTCATATTCTTAATTGGATTTTTTTGTCTTTCTTTGAAGAGTTTTATTTTACTACTAGCAGGCAGTTAATTTAGTTGTATGTTAGTTTAATCCTTTCAAATTCCACTTAAAACTTTTGTTAGATTATCTGTAGAATGTTCTCTCCTTTGGGATGGCTAAATTTTACTTGTAAGGCAAAGCTTTTCTGGAGTCCTTACTGAATGCCTTGGGTATTCAGCAAGGTCTCTCCTTACTGGTTGGTCAGAATTCAGATGTCTTCTATCCCTATGTGAGCTTCTGCAGTTGCTCAGCTTAGAGCTTCCTGGTAGTTGTTCTTTCCCGGGTAGTTGTTCTTTATTTAGCCATGTGGGTGTTCATCCTCTGCATGCTCATCTTGGTATTTAGTATTTAGTCAAAAACTCAAGGGAACCTATGTGCGGATTTCTGGAAGTCTTTATTTGCAAAACTCCCTCCATTCCAGTAGCCTGCACCACAAATTACGGGTGCATCAACCTCCCCAAATGGCAACCTCTATCTTTTTAGCTAGTGAGATGCTGCACTCTAATTAGGGCTTCTGTCTCTGCTCCCAGTCTGGCAAATATCTTCAGGTACAAAGCTGGAATAATCATAAGACTCATCTTATTTGTTTCCATATGTTCAAGGATCATAGTTTTGTACTGTTTTCTGTCTAGTATATTAAAACTGTTGTTTCATATATTTAGATCAGTTTTCTAGTTATTTATAGCAAGTCTGGTGCCAGTTAATCTGTAAAGACTGAGAGCAGATTCTCCTCCATAGCAGCTCTGAAAAGCTGCTGGACATGTATTGTCAGAGCCCCCTACTCGGGGGACAGGAAATGTTCTTAGATTAGAGCTTCAGTCTCTAATCCTTAGCTCTTATCCACTCTTTGTTTAGATCTCTGGACTTTTGGTTCTGCCCAATGAGACTTCTTTCTTTCTTTATAAAAAATGACCCAGATTTCTAGTTGAGTAGTTTCTCAGCCTACTTCCCACCGATGAAAAGTTAGGAGCCCAAAGTCTCTTTACATTTAAACTCACTGTCCCTTATATTCCAAGATGGTATCAAATTATAATCCAATTGATGAGACAAAGTCACACTCATAAGTCTCTTTATAACGGGTCCTTTTGTATCATTGAGAGGATGTATGACTTACTACCTTAAATCTTTCAGAGGTCTTGTTAGGGGTCTTACAGTCATACTCATGATTTGGGCTTTACTCTTAGGTCATGTTTTACTGGCAGCACCCTAGATTTTATCTTTACTCTGTGGCCATTTCTTACTTTGAGAATCTTTTACAGTCTGGACACACTGACCTGGGCCCACTATAGTTTCTTTAAATTCTTAAAAA